GGCAGCCCCCACCAGCACAGGTATCCAGGGACAGGCAGCACCCACCAGCACAGGTATCCAGGGAACAGGCAGCACCCACCAGCACAGGTATCCAGGGACAGGCAGCACCCACCAGTACAGGTATCCCAGGGAACAGGCAGCACCCACCAGCACAGGTATCCTGCCATTCAGCACATCCAAGACCCAAGCTCCCCGGGGTGGCAGCACACAGAGCCCTCTCGCTGTCCCCACTACTCCAACCTCATGAAAATCCCCTGGGAGAGGGGAAGGTGGGAGACACATCCCAGGGGACTCATGTCAGGGAAGGAAATTCTCTCCTCATTTTCACTAAGCAGTTTGAGGTGTCTGAATGCATCTGAGCCTTGGGCCTTTGATTCCAACTCTGGAGAAAGCAACAAACGTAACACCCAGGAAAAAATCCCTAGTGCTGTCCTTAACAGCCCCGAAATCCACTTAGGTTCATCCTTCCAAACAATTTCTTGGAACTCCTTCAGCAGACCAGAACACACACATGTACTGGTGACAGAAAATCCCCACAGCACCACTCCCTCCTCAGCATCAGCACTGTCAGAACCAGACACAAATCCCTCAGGTATCTTCCTCCCCTCACCTGCTAAAGAGGCATCAGCCAGCACAAGAACCTCCCAGCTCAGCCTTCCCGAGCACACGGAATTCTGAAGAGTTTTTATATGGGTTGCTCTAAAACTCAAACCTTTTCAGAAGGTTCACTAGAAGCTGGGGCTGTGACCAAACGTTTATTTACCCATCCTGTGAACACAAACTCCGAGTCAAACGAGGAAGGGCCATGGAATCACCGGGATGCTTTTGAGAGCTCCTTCCTGCACTCAGGTAGCACAGGGTGCACTGGGCCCTTCCCTTCTCTGCCCTCTGGGCACCAGCTGTGTGCAGAGCAGCACTTCTGAGACACACTGCACACTGTGGGAGAGCAATCCCATCAAAGCTGCTCCAGCTGTATGTGGAGTGCAGGATAAAACAGCACACCTTGTGCTCCAGAGCCTGTGGGAATGTGCCTCATCACAGCAGCTGTGGGAAGAGCTGCCCCTTGTGCCCAGCCCAGGGACATCCCCGGGAGCACAGCACGGGACACACCTCACAACACACCCCTTATCCTGGGGACTTCCTACCCACAGCACGGGGACCTGCAGCCACTGCTTTGGCAGGGCTCTGATTCTGCACAGATTTCAAATGCTGCAGAGAAAAACCAAGAGGAGGAGGGAATATTTGATTTAATTTAATGCCTCTTAATTAAAGGAAGAATGGAACATTCCTACTGACTTCCAGTTTTTACGAAAATTTTCTTAACTGAAAGCCATCTTACCTCATGAACTACAGACAGGGAGCCTAAACCATAATCCACAGAATGAAGGGCTTCTTTCTTGAAAGCATATCAGAATCACTGAGGTTGGAAAAGACCTCTGAGATCATCAAGTCCAACCTTTGACCCATCCCCACCTTGTCACCCAGCCCAGAGCACTGAGTGCCACGTCCAGTCGTTCCCTGGACACTTCCAGGGATGGGGACTCCACCACTTTAATCACTTTAGTTGCCACAAGTTTATACAGGATTAATACCTGTTATTACATCTGACAGTTTTAAACCAGTCCACATGTAAATGGTTTGGGCAGTCAGGCTCCCCCAGCTGAGCTCACAACTACTGCACTGCTGTATCAGCCTTCCTGTGATTTCAGCTCATAACACAAACTGCTGTAAAAATACAGCACATAAAACTGGAAGTGAACATTTCCACCAGAAAAAAAGAGATGATTTTATTTTACAAAGACCTGGTTATGGCTGAAATCACAGGGAAATGTACTA